GAGCGGCCAAAGCAGGCCTGCACACCATGGTCAGCCCAGAGCCTCCGGATGACGCCGGACAGGTCATCAGGGAGCACACCCTGCTCCTCAGCAGTGCAGGACAGTGCAAACAGCTGCCTGGCATCGTCCGCTCTGGAGGGGTCGGCAAAGTCGATCTGCAGGTTGCCCATGGCCTTGACAATGGCCATGATGGACTGGATGGTGTTGCTGTAGACAATCGTCCGGTACTGCCGGCATTCCTCCTCGGAGTAGCCATCCTCGTGGATGATCTTCATCTGCTTGACGATGGTGCTCTTCCCTGACTCCCCAGCACCCAACAGCAGCAACTTCACCTCCCGCGCCGCCTTCTCGCCGTCCTCCCGCAGGTTCTTGTCGATCATCTTAGAGCGCTCGGCCGCCTTGTCCTCGGCGCTCACGGTGCACCCCATCCCGCCGTCCGCCGGCCCGGCCGCCGCCCGGCCCCCACACGGCCCACGGCCCACGGCCCGGCTCGGCCCCGCCCGACCCACTCCGCTCCCACCACCAGCCCTAATGCGGGAAGCTCTCGGGTCCGCAGTTCCAAGCGTCTCCAGAGTATTTTTATTCTAGGGCCACATTAATCTCTTCTTTGCTGTTTTGGAAGACTGGGACTTTGGAGTGAGAGGATCTTTAGTAGCTTAGCCACTTTGGACCAGTTATTTACAACTTCTGTAGGCTTTAATTTCTTCATTTGAAAAAAAGGGTCTCACAAAAGTACCTGGCTCATAAGGGTTTTGTGAGGTTGCCTCGAAAGCACTTAACTTGTTGGCACACAGTAAATATTCAGTGGATGATGATGTTGAGAAAGATGATGAATATTGGCTTATATAATTGTGTATTTGGTCTTTGTCAGTATAGACATGCCTTATGTTTTAATTCATATCAGTGTGAAAGATCCAGGGTCTCACTGTATTGTTAAATTTTTCTTCCTATACACCAGTGTGTGATTCTTTTTTTAAATTTCCAAATGTCCCCTTCCACCTTTGTGAGAAAAATAAGCTAATCTCTATGAGAAAGAAAGTCTCTTAGTGTTTGAGAGAAAGCAGCTAATTTCAGAACTACAACTTCTTGGGCTGTCTCCTTAGCTGTGCTTTATTAGAGTTTTTAGTCCATTCCACTTTCTCTTAAATCCTCCCTGGCTCACAGTAGTAAACTGAAGCATACTTTATTAAAGTAAAATGAAATAATTATGTCATGCATCTTACCTGCAAGCACATGAGTTTTGATGCCTTTCAAGAGGAATATATTAGATGGGCAGCTGGTTGGTAATCATCCTACTCTGTCTCATTGGGTGACATTTAAATAATCACACTCAAATCTGCAGTAACTAGAGAGGAGTATTTCAAATGAATTATTTACTTCATACTACAGTTTAATGATTAGGCATACAGATAAATAAGGGAACATTTTCATGACATCCATATTATTGAATGCAGTGAACATCTAAAATATAACTGGATTTCTAAAAATTCCTACAGTTACCAGTGAACAAAAAGAATACATTTGAATGGGGAAAATTTCAATTCTTTTCCAGGTTCAGGTTGTCTTACAGCTTAGTTTTAGAGAGGCCTAGGACACTGAAATAATCGATGATTCATAGGCAAATTCTCTTTTGACTTGGTAATTATGTCAAAAAAAACCTATTTATAGAGTTAAAAAAAAATTAACCTGGACTACTAGAATATTTTCCCTGAAGATCTCTCAGTAGAATGGGGCAGACATTTTTATTTTTAGTAATTATTTATGTGGGTTCTATTAATAGTCACCATGTTAAAAATTAATACTAAGAAATGTTTAAAATATGTATATGGTTATCTTAATATAATTTATATTTTAACAGTTTCTATGAAAAATAATTTTATTTTTCAGTAACAATGATGAGTAATATTTTTATTGTATAAATGTAAGGTGTACAACATGTTTTTGTGTACATCTGCATGGTGAAGTGCTTATAACAGTCAAATACATTAATAAATTACTACATTATCTTCCATAGTTACCTTTCCTTTTTGCATGTATGTGGGGGGGGGGCGGTAAGAGTACTAAAATTTCTTGTTTTAACAAATTTCCAGTATATACAATGCAATATCATCAACTGTATATGGTGCTTAGGCTGTATGCTAGTTCTCTACACCTATTTATCCTGTTTAAATAAAAAATTCATACCTTTTGGCCTACATCTCCCATTTCTCCTATACCTTTCCCAACTACCATTCTACTCTGCTGCTTTGTGTTTATTATTATGTTTTTAAGATTCTACATATAAGTGAGTTCATGTAGCATTTGTCTTCCTATATCTGGCTTATTTTACTGAATATAATGTCATCTAGGTTCATCCATGTTGCTGAAAATGCAGGATCTCCTTTTTTAAGGCCAGATAGTATTCTGTTGTATATGTATAGCATGGTTTCTTTATCTATTCCTCTGTTAGTAGACACTTAGGTTGTTTCCCTACCTTGGCTATTGAGAATAATTCTACAATAAGCATTGACACACAGATATCCTTATAAGGTGGTGATTTCATTTCCTTTGGGGATATATCCAGAAGAGGGATTACTATGGTAATTCTACATGAATTACTATATGGTAGTGCTAAGTTGAATTTCTTTTAGGAAGCTCTGTGAACTTTTCTAAAGTGGCTACCTAAATCTGCATTGCTACCAACAGTTTACAAGTGTTTCCTTTTCTCTACACCCTCAGCACCACTTATCTCTTGTCTTTTTCATAATAAGCATCCCAACAGATGTTAGGGGTAAATCATTGTGGTTTTGATTTTCATATACTTGTTGGCCATTTTTATGTTTTCTCTGGAGATAAATCTATTCAAGTCCTTTACCTATTTTTTAATCAGGTTATTATTTTGTTTTGCTATTGGGTTGTTTGAATTCCTTACATATTTTAGTTATTAACCGTTTAAGACAGACTATGGTTGGTAAATCTATTCTCCCAGTATTTAAGTTGTCTCTTCAGCCTCTTTAACATTGTTTCATGATAAAAATAGTGTTGAGACAGGGATAAATCCAACCTGGTCATTATGTGTAATTTTTTTGATGTGTTCTTGAGTTCATTTTTCTGGTGTTCTCTTGATGATTTTTCCATCTACGTTCATCTTAGATAGTGGACTGTAGCTTTCTTATTGTGTCTGGCTTTGACATAGGAATGATGCTGGCCCCAAAAATGGGTTTGAAAGTATTCCCTCTAGTTCTACACTCTAGAAAAGTTGAAGAGGAATTTGAGATATGTTCCATGCATATCTAGTTTATTGCACGTTTTTAACATGAAGGGATGTTAAATTTTAGCAAAGGCTTTTTCTGCATGTATTGAGATAATCATGTGGCTTTTCTCCTTGGTTCTGTTTATGTGGTGTGTTTATTGATTTGCATATGTTGAACCAGACTTGCATCCCAGGGATGAAGCCAACTTGATCATGGTGGATAAGCTTTTTGATGTGCTGCTGGATTCAGTTTGCCAATATTTTGTTGAGGATTTTCACACTGATGTTCATCAGGGATATTGGCCTGAAGTTTTGTATTTTTTGTTGTGTATCTGCCATGTTTTGGTATCAGGATGATGTTGGCCTCATAGAATGAGTTAGAAAGAAGTCTCTCCTTTTTAGTTATTTGGAATAGTTTCAGAAGGGATGGTACAGGCTCTTCTTTGTACCTCTTGTAGAATTGGTCTGTGAATCTGTCTGGTCCTGGGTTTTTTTTTTTTGTTGTTGTTGTTGGTAGGCTATTAATTACTGCCTCAATTTCAGAACTTGTTATTGGTCTATTCAGGGAATTGACTTTTTCCTGGTTTATTCTTGGGAGGGTGTATGTGTCCAGGAATTTATCCATTTCTTCTAGATTTTCTAGTTTATTGGCATAGAGGTAATATATTCTCCGAGTTTGTATTTCTGTGGGTGATATCTCCTTTAATAACTTTTTACTGTGTCTGTTTGATTCTTCTCTCGTTTCTTCTTTCTTAGTCTAGCTAGGGTTTATCTCTTTTGTTATTTTTTTGAAAAAACCAGCTACTGGATTCATTAATTTTTTTGGAGGGATTTTTGTATCTCTATCTCCTCCAATTCTTGTCTGATCTTAGTTATTTCTTGTCTCCTGCTAGCTTTTGGATTAGTTTGCTCTTGCCTCTCTAGTTCTTTTAGTTGTGATGTTAGGTTGTCGATTTGAGATCTTTCTAACTTTCTTTTGTAGGCATTTAGTGATATAAATTTCTCTCTTAACACTCCTTGAGCTGTATCCCAAAGATTCTGGTATGTTGTCTCTTTGTTCTTGTTGGTTTCAAAGAACTTCTTTATTTCTACCTTAATTTCATCATTTACCCAGGAGTCATTCTGGAACACGTTGTTCAATTTCCACGAAATTGTGTGGTTTTAAGTGAGTTTCTTAATCCTAAGTTCTAATTTGATGGTACTGTGGTCTGAGAGACTGTTTGTTATGACTTCAGATCATTTGCATTTACTGAAAAATGGTTTATTTCAATTAAGTGGTTGATCTTAGAATAAGTGTCATGTGGCACTGAGAAGAATGTAAATTCTGTTGATTTGGGGTAGAGAGTTCTGTAGACGTCTACTAGGTTCACTTGATCCAGAGCTGAGTTTAGTCCTGAATATCCTTGTTAATTTTCTGTCTCGTTGATCTGTCTAATCTTGACAGTGGGGTGTTGAAGACTCCCATTGTTATTGTATGGGAGCCTAAGTGTCTGTGTAGGTCTTAGGCTCAAGAACTTGTTTTATGAATCAGGGTGCTTCTGTTTTGGGTGCATATATATTCAGAATACTTAGCTATTCTTGTTGAATTGTTTTCTTTAGCATTATGTAATGCCCTTTTTTGTCTTTTTGATCTGTGTTTAAAGCCTGTTTTGTCAGAGACTAGGAATTGCAACCCCTACTTTTTTTTTTTTTTTTGTTCTATTTGCTTCATAAATTTTTCTCCATCCCTTAGTTTTAAGCCTGTGCCTGTCTTTGCACAGAACATATCTCAAAAGAATAAGTTATTTATGACAAACCCACAGCCAACATCATATTGAATGGTCAAAAGCTGGAAGCATTTCCTTTGAAAACTGGTACAAGACAAGGATGCCCTTTCTTACCACTCCTATTCAACATAGTATTGGAAGTTCTGACCAGGGCAATCAGGGAAGAGAAAGAAATAAATGGTATTTAAATAGGAAGAGAGGAAGTCAAGTTTTCCCTGTTTGCAGATGACATAATTTTATATTTAGAAAACCCCACTGTCTCAGCCCCAAAACTTTTTGATCTGATAAACAACTTCAGCAAAGTCTCAGGATACAAAATCAATGTACAAAAATAACAAGGCTTCCTTTATACCAGTGATAGGCAAGCAGAGAGCCAAATCTTGAATAAACACCCATTCACAATTGCTACAAAGAGAATACCTACGAATACAGCCTATTAGGGATGTGAAGGACCTCTTCAAGGAGAACTACAAATGGCTGCTCAAGGAAATAAGATAGAACACCAACAAATAGATAAACATTCCATCCTCATGGATAGGAGAAATCAATATCATGAAAATGCCATACTGC